GTTCTATTTTGTGTCACACCCCTACATGCAGGGGCGGATCCAGACTTTATATATTGGTGTGGCTAAACATAAAAGAAATTATCGACTAAAATATATTGAAAATAAAAAATAATATTGTTTGATGAAGTGTATTTACAATGAAAACCGTCTAGTATCAATTTCTTGAAAATGAGCTAAAATAACATCATTGTTAATTGTTCCAAGAACATCTCTTTCTATAAAAGTTACAAGACGATCATTTAACCATTGATCACCCATTTTGTTACATAGCTGACTCTTCACAAACTTCATAGCTGAAAAAACACGTTCCACGCTCGCAGTTGCTACTGGTAAGACTAAAGCCAACTTCAGAAGCTTATAAACTATATCAAAAGTGTTACATTTTTTTGTTTCCACAAGTTCTGCACAAAGATCTGAAAGTCCGTTTAAATTTGCAAATTTTGGATCACATCGAACATTTCTAACATAATTCTGAAGCTGATGTCGTACCGCCACTTCCGACACATCTACAAAATCATTTGGATAAAGTTCAACCATCCTCAATAATTTTTTCACATCAAAAGATTCAAATGATGATGAGGGACTCAAACATGAAACACATTGTAAAAGTTCAGTATTCTCTTCATCAAACCTAGCATTGAGCTCATGCAACTGCAAATCTAAAACACTACATAAACAATCATGCTTATAATGATGCAAATTAGAAACACTAGAAGTGATAGCATGTCGTCTAGGTTTCTTCCCTTGCACGTACACTGCATCCAAATCAGGCACATCAATATCATGCTTATTGCAAATTTCCATAACCTTAGATATAAGTTCTTCCCATCCATCATTTCTCATTTCTTGTAATTCCTGTTTGGTGGCTTTGACAAGTGATAAAGCATTCAAAAGATCTTGATCACGCTTTTGTAGCACTACACTTAAATCATTTGTAAATCCTAAAATCTCAACCATCATGTATAACATGAAAATAAAATCAAAGGACTGAAGCACATCTAGCAAAAGCATAGTTTCACCATATTTTTCAAATGATGTATCTTTCCCGACTTCTTCAAGTACCTCAATAATGGCACCATATAAAGTCATCAAACTAGTGAGAGTCCTAAAGTGGGAACCCCAACGAGTGTCACCCGCTCTAGCAATAGACGATTCTTGATTTAATCCACTACCAGTCTCTATCTCACCCTCTTCAATCAATTTAGCAAATTGAGATACTTGTTTGTCCCGAAGCAATTCTTGTCTCTTGTTAGAAGACCGTATGAAATTAACAAGCATATTGACCTTACCGAAAAAACCACTAACATCTTTGTGAGTCTTAGCACATGCAACAAGTGCTAATTGAAGTTGATGGGCAAAACAATGCACATAATAAGCTGATGGATTTTCATTTTGAATTAAAGTTCTCAAACCACCAAACTTACCTCGCATATTGCTAGCTCCATCATATCCTTGCCCCCTTATGCTAGATAAACTCAAGCCATTAATAGACAACAACTTCTCAAGTGCCTCCTTAAGTGACTTAGCACTTGTTTCTTTAACACTAACAATCTCAAGAAACCTTTCTTTTACCAAACCATCACTATTAACATAGCGAATAACAACAGCCATTTGTTCTTTACCAGCAACGTCACCGGATTCATCAATCAAAACACAAAACACATCATCCGCAATATCACATATAATTTGTTTAGTTATTTCACATGCACAAGCAACAGCAATATCCTTTTGAATCTTAGGGGCAGTCATAAAGTTATTTCCTGGAGCACAATTTATTACCTTAGCTATCTCTGGGTTAATTTCCTTTAGAGTGTCCACCAACTCAAGAAATGGCCCCTTAAATAAAGAGTTAAAAGACCCGTCACTCCCTCTAAATGGCATGCCACACCTCAAAAGAAACTTAGTATCTATAAGAGATGTGTTTACACGAACACGATATTCAGAATTCATTTGTTTAGTTTGATTAACAAATGCAGCCTTAATACTTTGGTTTGGGTTCATGAGAGCGTAACTCATATGCACACAATCAATATGACTATTGGAAGAAGTTCCATGATTAGCCAATCTGTGAGAATTCTTCCAATCACCAAACCCCTCTGTCACAAAGTGATCTCCCCCGTATTTAGAGACATTCTTAAACAAAAAACATGGCAAGCAAAATGCCAGGTCCTTAGATTCACTATAATCAATCCAATCATACAAATCAAACCAATTTTTGCAAAATCTACGTCTTTAATTACCTTGAACAGACCAAGGGTAAACAAAATTGTAAGGAGGTTTATGACGACCTATTTTTAAATAAGCTTTCCTTACCTCATTTTGGATGTCAGGATGATAGCTTGAAATTGGAGGCCTAATTCCTGGATCGGTTTCCAACAATTCATAATCGACAACTTTAATACTCTCACTTGGATGTTGAGTTTCCGATGCTTCTAGATTTACCGAAGAAGTAGCTTTGTCTCTAGAAAGCACAGGAAAAAATTTCTTCATCCTATAAAGAGAACAATGAAACCATTAAAATTAGCTATTCACTCTATAAAGAAAATAATAAGAACAATTTATTGTAAAGAAAATATTTATGAGAAATTGAAAATTTACTTTTTTAAAACAAATTGGGATTTTAGGGTTCAACTCAAATAGAACAAAAGAATAAGAAAATTTTGAAGTAGTTAGTTTACCTTTGATTTTCAATCACCCATAAACAATGCAAAATGGTGGGGTTATTGGATTAATGAGAGAAAGAGACAAATATGGAAGTTGGTGGGGTTTGAGAAGAAGAGAAAGGGTTTACTGTGTGAGAGAGAAAGAAATAAAAGAGAGAGAAAATTAAGAGATAAAAGTGAGTTGAAGAGTTATATAATATTAAATATTAAAATTAATTAATTAATTAATTATATATTAATATTAGAAAGAAAAAAATCTGGTGTGGCTATAGCCACACCTAGCCTAAACGTACATCCGCCCCTGCCTACATGACACCAGACGTTCCTAGACATCTCACCTATGTCTGCTCATAAGGAGATCCCAGAGAATGAGCAGGCCTTGGATAATCATGCCATTGATGAATTGTCGGTCTGTCAAAAAATTATGCGGATGACAAGAGAGCGCATCAAAATTGGGTTGTTTGAGAGAGGTGGCGATGAAGCAGTTGGCGTAGCACGTTCCATTCTTACCGAAGCACAAAATATCTTGTGTTACTGTAGGCAGAGGAGGAGGCAATGTGTTAGGATTAGACATACTCAATAGACTATGCATTTAGTTGTATTTTGTATATTTTTCATCGACTTAGAGAACAATTTTTTACTATGATAATCTTTTTGATTAATTAACGCATTATTCGATTCTATGATATTCATTTTTATTAAGCTTTGAAACAAATAATAGTAATGTTAATCGAATTAAAATTAGTTTGGATTGAAAAAACTTCAATCTCAATAAATTGTTTCTGCACAAAACATACAGGCAAGAATTCGAAGATGTATCTGCGAATTTACTCCACACATAGTTCGGAGATACATCTTTGAACTATTTTTTTTTAAATGCGGTGGTTTTTCTTGATTTACAAAGGAAGTAAGGTGACTTCGGAGATGTATCTACGAATTTACTCTTGGGTTTATTCAAAGATGCATCTCCGAACTAAATTTAGACAAAAAAAAAGTATTTGGTGCGTTCGGAAATGTATCTCCGAATATACCCAAAGTATTTTAGAATTTTCAGAAGTGTACCCTATTGTATAAGGGTGTAAAGAGAAATTGTTTATATGGCTATTTTTTTTGTGAGATTTAGACTTTTGATATTTATTTTCAATTGGATATACAGTGAATTGAATTGAGAATTGAATCAATGTTTCTTTTCTTGTTTCATGATGATCTTGTTGGGCTATTGTGCCTGTGCAATCTGATGCTCCATCTAATTGATCCCATTACATTTTCCATTGCCTCATCATCTCCTGCTTGCAAGCTTCAAATTGGATTTCCTTGAAGTTTATTCCCAACCAGCACATCCCTCTTTAAAGCGACCTGCATCCTGCATCGTGGAAGGGGTGTTCTTCCTTGCATTAGCATGATTCTATCCCAGGACAAACTCATTTGCTGACATTGCTACATGTATAGGATCAAAAGGTTGTTTGACAAACCACATTGTTTAGGGACAGAGTTATGCAGAAAAACTGTGGCATAATGATCTTCACAGTTGAGTCATCTTTCAATCCAGCAGTTTTCAAGTCGGTTGAGATGAAAAACACACCATTTGCACCATCCGACTCTACACACTGCGTTCACAGTTTTCATAACGTGGCTAAGGAAGTCTCAAAGAAATTCAATATTCCATGGTGTTATATATATAATACTGATAATTTGGTGCATTTCATAATCCTAGAGGATATATTGACAATGGTTAGATGGTGTTATCCAAAAATGTCACTATTAAGAAGCCATCGAGATGGTGTTTTCCAAAAATATCTCACCTTTAATAACATCTACGATTATACCAGTCCAAATACATTGAACAATTTCCACAAAAAGACATCGAAAATAAATCTTCAATTACATTTTTTTTCTTCTCTTTTTTAGTCTTTTAAGTACATGAAAGAGATATGTTGTCCTTATTTTGTAAATATAGCAGCTAATTATTTTATCGGTTGAATAAATCTATTAACTTTCACATTTATAAGATGATTAAAATTTGATTATTTCTCAAATGCTCCTATAAATAGCTTTTCACCAATCAGACATTTAAAATGTTTGTATTTTGAAAAGTGATTTTTTTGTAAATTAGTCCAAAATCAGACAAATGTGTCATAAGTATCATCTATTGTGAAAATACGAGATCAAAGACAACACAACATACACAGTACTAACATTTTTCTGTTAATTCAATTTCAAATAAGGTTATCGAAGAGGCAATAATCCCGAAAGTATATATACATTCTCACACAAAACAAATATTCTCACATATTATCCCTAGCAACACAAGGTTTTGAAACAGCACAAGAAACAAACCTAATGTTGGGGAATATCAGTCTCCTTTTGAAGATACCGAAACAACTGAGGAATTGTATATGAAGGTTTGTCCCATGATTTGATACATAATTTTGCCACAGCTAGAAGAGTTTTAAGTTCTGTACCATCATAATTGTTTCCAAGATCAGGGTCTAACATCTTATCTATGGAACTGAAAAATCGGGATTCTTGAATCCATTCAATTAAATCAGAACCTTCCATCTCTGAAGACTGACCAGTGACAAGTTCCAGGATGAGCACTCCAAGTTGGAATATAATCTTACGATTTTCCTGCCCCGTGCAATCTGAAATGAACCATGCCAATGAGCAATTGAATATGTAAACTAAAAAGTGCAAGTACTTCAAATTGGTTTTTGGTTTTAATTAGGCGCAGTTTACAAACAGAAACAACCTTGTGTCATCATGACAGAACTTCCACCAGTAAAAAGGCCAAAATCAGATAGCTGTAACAACAGAAGGAAATTTCATTTAGTCATATCTCCAAATTAGATTGACAATGATCAATCAGATATGGTACATTACAGTGAGAAAAGGAACTATTTCCTTACTTTAGGGGTGAAATTCTCATCTAACATAATATTGCTAGAGCTAATAGAGACATGACTTATCGGCGGTTCACTGAAAAGAAACAAGTATTCCTGCATTGAGAATGAACATATGTGAGAAGAAGCCAAAAGCCCAAAATCAGATAATCATACATCATAAGTTTTGGCAGGTGAAGATCAGTTTCTAAATGACACCATGCGAAAATTGTATAGACAAAAGCTAACTTTAACAATTGATCATGAACTAATTTCCATTGCTCATTTTACCAAAGTTGGCAATAAATTTTTCTTTCAGGGGCCTTACCAAAACATGTATTGAGCAGTGTCAACTTAGCAGGGTTTTCTCACTTCCATAATCAAATTTTTTTAGTCAAGTAGCCTAGTGGCTAGAATTTCACCATTTAAAGATGAATAAGTGGGATGTCGTAGGTCAGAATCCGCACCCATGCACCTGATATCTCTACACGGCTACCAACTGAACTGGTTTAGCTGAATATTTGGTCCCAATTTAGGAGTCTTAAAATTTCAGGTTTTAAAATGAATTGCAATAGAAAATAAAATAAGAGCACATCATCAAGTTGACATTATAAGGTATCTTTGGTTTCGACATGCTTTAATTTAGGAAGCTTACGAGTGCAGCCACAACGCCATTAGCTATCTGCAACCTCGTCCTCCAATTTAAAGGAGTCTTCAAGGGATCTGTCAACATTCAATCATTAAAACAAAATAAAAACATCTTAAAATTCATGAAAATACTCCTCTAGACTTCCATTTTCCTTTTTAAATTTACCATTAAGATGCTCCTTTAAGCTTCCATTTTCTATATTATCAAATATAAGCAATCTGCATAAACAACCAAATCCAAAAAGTTACAAACAAACTAGCCTGAAATAAATATCAACTCTCCATTTCAAAAAAGAAAGTGAAAAAATGCGAAACCTCTTGCTCTTTCGATCGTGTCCGAGAGAAAAGCCTTTGAGTGAAAGAAGGTGCCGATGATGCAACCGTCCCAACAACTGCACTTGTTTATGAAAACTCTCATCATTTCCCCTATCAAAATCTTTAACTTCTTTCACCAAACAAACACCGCCGCATCCCTCTCCTAAATTCGCAGCATATGCAGAAACTTCGGAATTGCTATAAACTACTCTTTGAAAACTATCAGTTGCTTTTCTAACTTCCTTGTACGAAATTCTCCTCACAAAAAACACGGATCCTGAACAATTCAACAATTCAACGATTCACATTCATCTACTTTGAACAATTCAACAAATCACATTCATCTACTTTAAACTGAATAACAAGATCGGCGAGAATGGATTACCGGAACGAGATCGGTGAAGGCATCGGAGAAGGTGGCGCCGGAGCTTGCGGATCAAGGGATCCATTATGGTGACGGTGAAACTGTCGGTTATAAATGACGGAGTTTAGTGCTAAGTTAACACCGTTAAGTTTCATTGTGTCTTTGTAAATGGAAATTGGAAAAATAAAACGAATCTGTTGTTTCCTTTTTAGCTTCGATTCGGAGGAGAGAGAGAGAAAGAGATGGAACGGAATTGGGATCGGGTTTAACGTCGTCGACGTCATTCACACGGAAACGGTTAAGTAATTTACAAATATTATTAAATAAATATAAAAGTGTTTATTTAGAAAAAGGAATGGTTAACTGAAATCTGTTTTCGGTTATAAATTCAGTTATAGTTACTAAAAAGTATGATTATTCTAATTCAAAATAATAAATAAATTTCTGAAGAGAAAGGTTTCTACTTCTAGCTTGTATGCTTCTATTTCAACATCGAAAGATTTGGTTCAATTTCCGAGAGCTTTTAAGTTTTCTGCCAGTAACTGATACTACAATTCTGTGAAAATTGTTGGTGAAATAAAAAATGTGTTGTTTATCAAATTGTAAAAATTATTAGTAATTAAATATTTTTAATAGCAAAAATTGATTACTACCAAATAGTAGTGGTCATTATCATATAAGCCATTAAAATTGGTCAAATGATTGTGAGGTAGGGTAGGTGAGCTTATTTGCTTTCTATCCCAAAAGTGGTCCATCACGTTATAATGAGACTTGGATACTAGACTCCGTAAATAAACACTACAAAATAAGTTGAGTTTTGCTACGTGAAAGTCACGCCGCTAACACTCAAATCACGTCACTACTCAAATTTTGCCACCTTAAAGAACACGTCACTATATAGCGCGTGACAATCTTGTTGCGACGTAAAAAACATGTCACTAAGTTGTCACGTGAAATTCACGCCGCAACATACTGTATAGGATAAAAGCAATTCAGAGCAGAGCAGTGGGTCAGAGCAGGTTTATAATTTTTGTTACGTTAGCTTTAGCGACGCATTTTTCACGTCACTAATTAGTGACATGAAAAACACGCCGCAACTTGTTTTATTTTTAAAAAAAATATTTTCTGTTTTAAATATATTAATTATGTTTTAATAATTAATATTATTTTTTGTTTTATTAAATTTATAAATTAAATATTATAATTTAATTATTAAATACAATATTATTAATCAAATTATCAAAAACAAAACTAAATATATCTAAATGTATAAATAAATATACTTAATATTATAAATTTAATAAACTCAAATTTAAATTTATAATATTTTTAAATATACCATATCATTATAAATTTATATTACACAAATAAAAAATTAAATACAAAATAAAAATAAAACTAAGCAGAATCGTCGTCGGAAATGTCGGGAAGAAAGTCATCATTATTTTGGTGGTTATTATTTTGGCCACCACTGTTGGGATTTCTACCAAATGCTTGCATAAATTGTCGCATTTTCTCCTCCATATCAGCTTGCCTCTTCGCCATTGCCTCAATTTGTCTATTATGTTCACCCCTCATTGCCTCCATTCGGGCATCCATTTGGGCATTCATTTGGGCCTTCAATGCCGCCTCACGATCTTCGGACTCGCTTTCTAGCCAATTGTCTTACCAGTTCTAACTGATCCGGTGTCAAATTTGTTTGACGTGACCCTCCTTCACCGTCTGCAGCTCTCTGATACAGATTTCTATCCCCACTCCTCAAGGTGTCCGCCAAATTTCCACCACCAAAAAAACACTCGTTAGGCCCCTTTCCCCAACAACTTGACTCCAAATATAGAAATCCACATCTGGGTGAACCGGTTTTTCTGGAGGAGGCGTATACTGAGGATTATGGGTCAGAAATTCTACAAGCAACGCCTGATAATCCTCCTACACATACAATAAAAAAATCAAGTTTAATGTATAAGTAACATTAATGAAATTAAATGAAATTAAAAAAATAATAAAAAATAAATAGCCACGTGATTGTAACGCCACAACTTATCAGTTGCCACTCAATTTTCACGCCACAACATGTCATTTGCTACATGAAAATCACGTCACAAAATTGCTTTAAAAAAATATAAACATAAATTTACTTACCAGGGCTTTTTTTGTACGCTCGTCAGTAAATCCTCCCGATTTCTTTGTCCGAGTCTCCTTAACCAGCTCCGTCATCAATGGTTGTCTCCCCAAACGCTTAGCCTAAATATAAAAATTAACTTAAATTAATAATATGTTATAAATCCAAATATGACCTTAAAAAGTGGTAATAATTACCATGCATCGAGCATGCTCAGTAGTACTAATACTTTCAACAGCATTAATGCAACCCCTTTTTCAGATGCCCTCATCTTCTTTGCAGTTTCAGATTTAGCCTTAAATTCATTTGATTCCCAATACTTAAGAAGTTGTTCAAAAACTTCTTTGCCTATCCATTTGGGACGAATGCCCAAAAGGTGTCAATTCTCTCTAACATGTCGTAGCATGTCAGAAAGTCGTCTTGAACTCCTTCCAAAATAATTTTTTTTTACTTTGTTATGGTTCAGGGGATCCCAAACACATTTCGCCTGCAATATTGTATGACATTAAAATAAATAGTTAGATAAATTATAACAATAATGAAAAGGTCATTTAAATAAAAATAACTTAAGAAATAAATTAATTATACCTGAAATTGCTTGAACCATTCTTCTTTATCGGAAACTTCTCTAAAACTCTTCAAAAATGTTGTATAATTCTGCTGAATTATTAATTGATAACCTTAGCAGCAGTCCGACTTGGCCCGAAACTAAAACAACAATAATTGAATTAGCATAATTAATTATATAAAGTTATATTAAAAATGGAAATGTGTACTTATAAATAAAAATCAATAAATAAGAAACTTACGAGTTCCCTTCAGGCCATATCTAAAATCTCCCATCAATGGTATGAATCTCACTCGGATCATCATCCCCTCGAAGATCTCTCCCATCTATCTGATCATCATCCCCACCAAGATCATCATCATCCGACTCTGTGTGGGATGTGGGGGTGCGACCAGTCTGTGTGGGTCGTGAAGAGGTGGATCCTCCAGGCTGCTGGACGAATGGGGGCATCTGGGTAGGAAGTGGGGTGCTGGATCCTCCAGGCTGTTGCACGAATGAGGGCATCTGTGTGGGAAATGGAAAAATATGCTGGAAGGATGAGGGCACCTGTATCTGCTGGAAGGATGGCACTTGTGTCTGCTGGAAGGATGGCACCTGTGTCTGCTGGAAGGATGAGGGCACCTGTGTCTGCTAGAATGGTAAACCAGGTGGGGCCCCAGATGGACTAATAAAACATGTACTCCCAGATGGGAACTGAAGAGGACTCTGAGATAATAGTAATGGAGTAAATGGCATAGTACTGTCCATGGACATATGATGAACCTGACTCTGCGGGGGAGGACACGTGGCTGAGTGAGGTGACTGGCATACTACTACCCTTGGACGCCTGGGCTTCCTACCACTATCACTAGGATCTTTACCCTTATTATCTTTGGGTGGCATTTTTACCTAATTAAAGAAAATACAAGTTAACATATACATATTCTCATGAATACATATTCATTAAATCATTCAATAAATGGTTCTTTGAGTAAAATTACAAGACACAATTCTCATGAATACATATTCATTAAATCATTCAATAAATGATTCGTTAATTAAAATTACAAGACACAATTCTCATGAATATAGGTTCATTATTCTGAATCGTCATGCTCTTCATCCATTTCATCATCGTCATCTGATGTGATACTATCCTCAGATCCATAATCTTCATGATCTTCATGATCTTCATCCTCATCAACTTGATTCCCCTTAATCATTGTATCAGACAAACTTGTAGTGTGTTCATCTGGAATCACATCATTAACTTCAACTTCATCCACTTGGTAAGCAACATCCTCCACTAGATCGTCAGTTTCAATATGACCCAATGGTTTTGTTTTTATTACAACACAACACCGACGTTTACGTGGCACAAATGAAGGATAAGGAACATAATAAACTTGCCTAACAATATTTGACATTATGAAAGGGTCGTACTCTTTGTACCTCCGGTCCATTTGAATCTCAACAGTACCATATGTCTTATCTATTTTTGTGCCTCTAGTTGGATCATACCATTCACAATAAAACAAGACAACTTTATTTTCCGAGTCCAAGTAATTGTATACTAACTCGTAGATATGTTTAACAAAACCATAGAAGTCATCTTCACCACCATCTGTAACTCCTTTCACAAATACGCCACTGTTTATGGTTTTTTTCCCTTCAGTCCATTCATGAGTGTGAAATTTATATCCGTTCACGAAGTATGTGTGCCATTTGTTTGCACTTTGACGAGGGCCATTAGACAAGTTTCTCAAATGGAGTATTTCTGGAGTCGGTGCAACAACCCTATACAATTTCTCCTTGAACCATGTTGGAAATTGGGCATGAATGACACCAGATGTTGATTGTACACCGGTACTTTCAAAGTAGGCGTTGTTAAATTCCCTAAAAAGAAACACACTATAAGTTTCAAGGTAATCAATTTTATATATTCACATTGTAAATAAAATTAAGAAGTTGGATTATACTTACTCAAGATATGATTTAACTTCAATGCAGTTGATCAAGACATGAACATGTGCAGATTGCATTTCTTGTTGGGTCAACCAATGCTCACCCTTCTTTCCAGAGGGACGACCTGGAAGCCCGAAGACTGATAAGGTGTACTGACTTCTTTCGATAACATTTACAGGATTCCTTATGATTCTTGGAGTTAACATCAAGTGCTTGAAATAGTGACTGCAAAAATGTGAAGTTTCTCGATGCAAGTAATCTAACACACTGATCAGGAACATTCCAATTTGACTTGGCGGCCAATAATATAACACACATTGATAGCTTTGAGTCTGACGACCCCTCAAACAACGGCGTATTCATCTCATTCAACAACTGATAAAATCTCTGCGCTTCCTCATTCGGCAACTCTTCCCCGTCAAAGTCTTCAGGTTGATCATAGGTCACGTTA